CTGCCTCTAATTGATAAATAAAAATAAAAATTGAAGACTATGAGTATGTGGTCTAAGAGACCTCAGCCCCTCAGCACTCATTGGTATAGCAGATTATCAGATCAGAGGCCATAAATCATTCACTTTTGTGATCTATTCTTGAGTCAAACAGCCAGTCAAGTGCTAGGCTATAAGGAAAACAGCATAGACAAGTAAAGGCTTGCTCACCTGCCGGCCATTAAAGCACTGTAAAAGCAGTGACCTCAACTCCAACGTGCAGACTTTTTAAGCACCAGGATAGCAGGTTTCTCAAACTTTGATGTGCAGAGGATCTTGTTAAAAAGCAGACTCTGACTCAGTAGATCTGTGGAGGGGTTCACAATCTGAGTAGCAAGGTGTAAAATTGTAGTAGTTTAATGTCACCTAATGTTAAATATGCGTTATTAGTTTTAAGTACTTAAGCTAGGACAATTTTAATTATATTCATGACTCCCATTTTTACATTCCATATATATTTTCCAGTGTTATTATAGTTAATTCCTTAAATACTACATTGCCAAGTACAGAAGCATTCAAATCGTATTTTAGGAAACAGGCATCTCTGTGAAGATTTTTATAAATTAATGATTTACATTACTTCCTTGAGCATTATTCTATGCTAGACAGTGTTTTATGACATGAGAATATTCAATGAATCAAGGAGACTCCTCTACAGACCTTAACTAAATAAAATATACCATTTCATTCTCTGAGGGCAGAGTGAAGTTAAATTAAGAACATGGTTTGGGTCTGAAAAACAATCCTTTTCTCTCCCATTTCTTTTTGATTCCAGTAAACATCTTTTTATTCGATTTGAAGGCACTCACAGGCAAATTCACTGCCATCTGAAAGAGTTTAGTCACCACCTGGTGGATAATGAAATAGCAACATCCAAAAATAATCCACTATTTCTTGTACAAAAAAAAAAAAAAAATTAAAACCTCTAGCATGTTTAATTTTCAAACCATACTAAAAAATTATTTTTTAAACCCCTAAACACCACTGGACTCAAATTTTGTGGACTCAAAAGAATACACTTCATTGTCAGAAGGAAGTTTTGCAAGAGAAGCAAAGGGCCTTTCTGACTCTTTGCAGCGGGAGCTGTTCAGAAGCACCATGTCTTAACCAGGCCATTTCCCTGAAAGACACAGTGCTCGTTTCCAGATGCGAACGCTACAGCCCAAGTTCATCATATCACGTTACTTTAATTTTATGCTCTCTGAGCACTCTTCATCACATCTTGGGGGGTAATCGAGGGAACAGGGACTCAGGAAATTTAATGTTCTCAGATTCATCTGGAAAGGTTAAACTGCGCTTCGGCTGTGGATGTCGCTTAGCTTTAAAACAGGAGTTGGCACAGAATTTCATCCCGAGCAATTCTTTGGAATAACCAGAGAGAAAATAAAGATAAACTTTGAAGGAGAACTGCATAAAAAGCCAAACAAAACAATACCAGAAAAATTCAGACAATACTTCTCTGTTTAATTGATCTCGAGGAAGGAGAAATCCAAGTTCACAATAATTTACATAGATTCTGTCTTATTACACACAAAACCAAACATACAATCATTTTAACAGCAACAAACATGAACATGTTCGAACGAACATGTCGAATACCTTCAGGCCATTTTGAATAGTGTCCCGTACCTATACCTAAATAATAAATACTGCTTCTGAATTGTTTTGAAATACAGTACCACTAAGAGTTTTATATTTTTATTTAAATACTTAAGGAGCATAAAGAAGAAATACACAATATTTTATATTGTAATGTAGGAATTCTTATTCCTAATAGGCCCAAGAACCACTACAAACCATCCTCCTGTTAGCCCTTAGCTACTGCAAGACCAATGATATCCTCCACCCCGCTGTTTTTGTCACAGGCCACCAATTCTACCACATTCACCTTGGTTACAAACCTTCAGCCTGTTTAGTCATTTAAAGAGTTGGGAAAGAGCCTAAACCTAAACAATCATAGCAAATTCTGTTATATTTTTATAGTTCATTTTTGTGCTTTTTTACAACTTTTTCTACTAAATGATTCTAAGCCTAAAATATTTTCTTTCATATATATATTTTTTTACCTTGGATCATATTAATTGGTTTAAATGCAGGGCACATGTAAACAACTCCCCAGAAATGAGAGGCACTTCTTGGAAATGCAATGACTCCGGTCATTGGATCGCAGGACACTCGATGGTTTTGACTTGATGAACTGAATGAGTTCATGATTCGACTTTCCAACGTTGTCGGCTTGAAAATGGCAATATTCTTATCCGCGGCATTTAGTGCATTAAGATGCGTTAGATACGTGTGTCGGAAATCTTAACATTAAAATTGTGCTTACGTCAATTCTGTAATGAACCTAACGTTAAAAAACTTAACGTTATTCCTTAGGAGCTCTGATCCAATTACAATAATACTTGTTGAAATTGATAAGCAACCTGAGGCAAAAAAGTAAACAAGCAAAGTCACTTTTTCAAGCTTTTTAAACGGAACACACGAAGCGAACAACTATTTCCCAGATTATGCAACCAACTTCAATGAGAAGTTCTGGGAACAAATGCATGAGGCAGTACCTCCAAATTTCTTAATCATGATGGTCTTCAGCTGAGACGCACCCAAGACGAGGCAAAGGAAACCTCTTCGCCCCTAACGATGCCAGGTCTCTAAAGCACTCACAGGGACACATTACAGGCAAAGGCAGCAACTCGGCATAAACCCTTCAGTATTAACGTAAGGGGGGTGTGTATATATAATATCATGCTTATGGACATTTATTAGCCATGAAACTTCATAAAGAGCTGCAAAAAAATCTAGCAGAGAAAGACTTTTAAGTGAGGTGCCAGCCATAGATAATGGACTAATCTGTGCTCACAAACAGGGCAGGCGAGGTACACAGGGGGTGCAGCTCAGGAACCACATGGAAATTAAGACTAGTGCTATATTTTCCAAATACAAAATATAGACTGAGTACAAAAGTTAAGAGTACATTTGAGGACTATGGAACTAATGCTTACTATATGCACATCGTTTGTTCATATAAAAAGATACAAGGTCTTAGCATAAGAGCATGCTTTCTCTAGGAGTATGATAAAGAATGAAAGAGGGAATCTCTGTACAAATCTGAAAATAAAGTCTTGAAAGAAAAAGGCTATCATAAAAAATATTTATATTTTTTATGTTGTTGTTTGGTATGAGTAAAACCAGATTTTAAAAGATCTTAAAATTTAACCTTTGCATATTGTTTTAATTATAAATACATGTTATCTTTATGCTGTGTCTGATGACACTAACTGCTGTATGAAAAGTTTGCAAGCTATTACATATCTTCAAATGAGAAATACCAAGTTTTTCATTTGCCTAAAAGGTGAAAAAAACAGAAAAACAATGTATGTCAAAAACAAATACAATTGTTTAAAGGGATAAAATCAACTGGAGTCATTAAAATACCCTGCTTATCAAGAAACAGTCAATCAAAGGTTTTAAAGATACTCACACATATAAACAAGGAAGCTCACAGCACAACTACAGGAACAAGTAAATGGCATTAAACTGCAGTTAAATAAGAAGTCTTTAGCAGAGCCAGGAAGCCTTGAGACCAGATAAGGACATTCAGAATACGTTTGGCAACTTTATTCATATTCCACTTCCCCTCCATCTTTAAATGTGTCCTCTCCCACCCCATCCCCAGACAAGATCAGAAAAACCTGCTCTTGCAAACTAAAACTTACTATCTTTGACTAAGGACAACAGGATCTAGGTCTCCAATCAGTAACTTAGTAATTATTACATTCAAATTGGTTCCATGTGTTTCAATCCTGTAAAAGGCCCTTCATTTACAAAATCTAAAAGGTGATTTTCCTCTGGCACCTCTCACAGGCCAACTCTAGCCTGTCAAATACTTTATTCTTAGCCCCACCAAACAGCGACAGTCATGCTTAAACCCATTGCCTTTCCAAATGGAAAAGTCTGCAAATTATCTTAACCTCAGCTTGGAGAAACTGGAAATGGACTTCACCACCACCTCTAAACTTAAAAGTGCCCTTTTTAAGAAAACTCATGTCAGAGAAAATGTATTAAAGTACTAGATTCCACTGTCTCTAAAGAGCAAGCAGCTCAGTGATAAATGACTGCTCAAAATAGAAATTCACACACTCCCTAACTTGAGCTGGAACTGAAGCTTCTCCTAAGGGTAAAATGAACAGAAATTCTGCTTGAATAGTTTCTGAAAAAGCAGGGGAGGCAGTGGTGAGAAGGGTCTTATTTTAAACGTTTAGGATTCTATACCATTTAAAACAGTATGAGGCAGGGCACGGGGGCTCATACCTGTAATCCTAGCACTCTGGGAGGCGGAGGCTGAAGGATCACTTGAGCTCAGTAATTCAAGACCAGCCTGAGCAAAAGCAAGATCCGGTCTCTACTAAAACTAGAAAAATTAGCTGGGTGTGGTGGCTTCTGCCTGTAGTCCCAGCTACTCAGGAGGCTGAGGCAGGAGGATTGCTTGAGCTCAGGTGTTTGAGGTTGCAGTGAGTCATGATGATGCCACTGCACTCCAGCCTGGGTGGCAAAAGTGGGAGTCCGTCTCAAAAAGTAAAAAATAAAAAAAACAGCATGCAATATTTTATACACTGTGTGCAAATGGGGAGCTGAACATCACTCTATTCTGCACAGGCAAAGCTTCTTTGACTCTTCCCCTGGAGAGTTGCCATTTCATTCCTTTATACAGCACATGCTTTGGTTATTTTTTATCTAAAGGGCTCTCATTTGCTTAAGACTGTTAACACAAACAAAGGCTTATTGAAAGACACCTCTCTTTGAAAATAACCTACTGGGGGTGGAAATGGGGGTAGACAAAAGAGCCAATCAACAATTTAAATGTCAGTAATCATAACATTTCTTAAAATTCACAGTATCATAACTTCTGGAAGAGCTCCACTATTTACGTATCTGCAGGTCTTTGCAATTTATCATTTCAGATATCATTTTAATTTGTATGTGTTTTGCTTTACTCCATTTGTTTTGAGTTTTTTCTCACTGGATATACTGGCTGGCTTCACTCCATTTGTTTTGAGTTTTTTCTCACTGGATACACTGGCACGACTACAGCTATTTGCATTTCCCTTTTTCTTAAGATTTGCATGTGCTTGTGTTCTGGTGGCCTTGCAAGAGTCCGCTGAGTCCAGAATCACGGCTGACTGTCTGGGAATTCGAATGTTACCATTGGCTTCCACCTTACAGCTGTCATTGCAGGACAAATCCCAACGTGGCAGCTTTGTACTCTTACTGGATTTTTTTTTCTTCTCTTCTGTCCTCATTTCACGGGTTTGCTTCTGAGAACATAACCTGCTGCTACCCAGTATATCACTGGGTTTGGGGGAAGCCTCTAACATGTGGTATGATGGATGGACTTCATGGTGAACATTTTTCTTTCGTGAAGGGCCTGACTTTGAAGCCCCTTCCTGGTGAGGTAGTGGCTTGGACAGAGTGCTAGCAATCTGCTTACTCCTCCCAGGGCTCTTCAGAGCCCCTGAGGTCGCTGGGGCAGTGGGGGGCCTTGCTTTGGCCCCCTTCCCTTTTTCACACTGTATAGTCTGGATCTGCAGCCACTCGAGCTGAATAAGTCTGTCGATATACTTCCCAAGAAGTCCTCCCGCTCGTGGCATGGCTTCGGTTTTACACTCTGCATTCAGAAGCAGGGCCATGTCCCGTAGGTCCCAGGAGCTAAAAGGGGGTGGGAGGAAATCAGGATAACAGTATCCAGGTCTGGCATGGCCCTGGCCTGGGTGAAGATCGAAGTACACTGGATCAATTTCTTCAGCTCGAAGATTCAGGTCCGGAGGTGTGAGGGGAGAAGGGGGGATGGGAACTCTCTCGGAGTCGGAGAGATCACTCGCACTGTCTTCATCGGCATCTTCTTTAATAATTTTCATTGACTGAAAGTCAAGAAACAATCTGTTCCCTGAGGCCCCCTGACACCTACTGGGTCCAAGTGGATTCCTCTCAGGTTTTGCTTCCGGGGAAACGCTTTCTTTAAGTTTATCCTCAGCTGGCTGGGAGACACCCACAAGGCTACTTCTCAGCCGGGAAGAAACACGGCATCCTTCAGGCTGACTCTGTCTTTTTCCTGCAGAACTTTCTGGATGCTGCACTTTAGTCCAAGATGGGCCAGCATTCATACTGCTGTGAAAAATAAAACTGCAATTCTTACTACCTATGACAAAATATGGTCTGGCTACAATTAAACAAATGAAAAGAATCCACTACTTATGCTTTTTCTGTTCAGCTATTACTAGGCATTAGAAAATGTAAGGGCTCCAAAGTCCTTACAGAAGAAGTAGTTTTACAGAACATTTTTCCATGTAATACTCTATTTAAGAAACATGATATAACAATACATATGAATGTATGGATTTCATTTTATATCAAACATTAGCATTTAAGAAAAACATTAACATTTATCAGAGTGCTTGTTTTATAGTTTTAGACCAATTGTGTATACTTTGAAAAACATAAGTTTAGAAAAAAATCTATCATAGAACTCTTGGTCTGTTCTGTTAACGATCAACAGTATTTAACAACATTTAGAAGTAAAATCCACAGCTTTCTTTCATATGCCTGTTTCAAATTAGATATAACTGTGATATAAAATGCAAGTTTCACAGCGTTTAATCACTGATTAGTGGTGATTCTGGGCCAAGAAAAATCTTAATATGTGAAAGTGCAGCACAGACAACCTATATCTTAAACGCAAAGTTTATTAAAATGTTTTTAAACAGGAAACGGACTTGGGAAAACTGTGCTAAAGAACAGACATAAAATCGTATGATGAAAACACAGAGTCAAAGCTACCCTGTGAGTGGCGGGGAAAGGAAATAAGGAACACTGTGTGCATTACCACTGCAGCAACTGGTTCTGTCTGGGGTAATTTATTCTGAGGCGGAATCTCACATCAGAGTTGAAAACATCTTCTTTTCAATTTATTTGCCAAGAACACAGCATTTGACTAAGATTGATACTACATCTCTATAATATAAGTCAGATGGGATGAACAGAAAAGGGTGGTAAACATGCTTTCTGGGAACCTCAGAGGTTCATTTTGTCCATTGGTTTTAACCAAACTAAGCAATTATTTGAGAACATATTACCTCTTAATTAATAAACATGGAGAATGTTATATCATTGTCAAAAGTACAACATGTGCTCGACAAATGTTGAATGAGTGAATGAAAAGATGAAGGAACGGCCATTATTCAGGATTCATAACTAACGCTGCTAGAACTTTTGTTTTCTCCTAGCTGTCAATGTGTATCCATAGAGTTAATTACTATCAGCATCCTCCTGTACCACAGGAAACTAACACAGAAAGGTAAAGAAGGGACTTGCCCAAAATTATAGATTCTGCTAACACTGCCAGAATTATGAACTCTGGAGTCCTTACCAACTAATAATGTTTGAAACCACTTTTACATTCATTTCTGCTACATAAAAATATAAATGTATATTTCCTATCCACAGACCTTTTTTTTTAAGTCCACATATTCAATCTGGAGAACTGAGACAATGTGCCTTTTGCAAGATAAAACAATTATACTAAAACTGTTTACCTGCTTTTCTGATGAGATTCATTCACCCTACTCCTTTTCTTGAAAAAATCACACGGCTGATCATCATTTAGGGTTTGATGGACTGTCTAAAAAACAGGCATGCGGTTATTACCTGTGAACACACACACACACACACACACACACACACACACACACATCAAACAAACAAACAAAACCAGAACAAGTCTAAGGTTTTTCTTCTAAGTTTACATCACCTTTTCTGTAGTGCTCAAAATACTCTTGCTCAATCTGTTGGAAGATGATGACAGCTGGGGAGGTGACTTCTTTATTCCTCTTATATTTGGAAAGGACTCTTCACCACCGGAACTAGAAGCAATAGAGTGCTGTCAGTATTGATTGCAAATGGTCCTATCATTATTTTTTTTTAAAGTGAAAACCAACACAATACTATTTGCACAGCATTGAAATATTGGGGCTATGATCATGGAGTAGTTTGTACTCTGAGTTGGAAACATTGGGGGAGGGAGATACTGTCTTACGTTTATAGTTTAGTCTTTTCTGCTTACTTGTTTATCATAGTAGATATTGGATAACAGGATCATACTACTATAAATACTGTGAATAGATTCTATCCCTCTCTGTCCCTATACAACACACGTATAATCTCCTTGGAAATACATTGAGGAAATTTGGGAGGCTAAATAAAGTCAAGTGTTATTCCAAAGCTCCCATGTTCATTCAACAAATATTTACAAAAGTACCTAGGAAATGGCAGGGATTATGCACATGTCCCCCTTTTCACGGAGCTGAAACTACAGGGGGGAAGAAAAGGTTTCCATATATGTACACATGTTACATGCTATATAGTGTTTGTGAATACATATTATGGATACATATTACATACTATATAATGTTTGAGAAGCGTTGCTGACCCATACCACAGGTCACTGTTATCCCTCTTATTTTGAGTGGCCTATTAAAAGTGCACTGATGAGACACTGAATACTACTCTCTGCTATAACTTCCCTGCCTCTGTAAAATGGAAGAAATGGGATTACAGAAGATTTTAATTTTCTTTCTGAAACTTTCTTGTATTTTTTCCACAATGATCACGTAAGCCTTTAGTTGGTTTATATATGATGGTAATACAATCACACAGGGGGGCTCCTAATTAATGAACTATACCATAATCAATAGGCTTGACTCACTTTAGATGTGGAAAATGTTCTTCACCAGAGTAATGCTCTTTCATTAGTCTGGTTTTCTTCTGGCTTTGTCCTTCTAGACAGCAGAAAGAAAACTTCGATGGAATGCCTGGCCCGAAACTGCTCTCTAGAAAAGGCGCCTGCATCTTTACCCGTCATTTACACCCGACAGCCTTACAGCAAAGGCCCGTGCAGTTACCGGGTGAGAGAAACGAACGCCCGCAGGGCCCTGAGGATGAACAAAACGAGCTCCCAGGCTTCCTGGTTCGGGCTCGCACAGAAGCAAAGCTAAAAATCAGAGATTCAGTCTAGAAAAATGCTCCCCAAGCGGCAGAGGCCGATTACGGGCAACTGCAAGATCCACGGGGGCATTAACTCCTGCTGCTCTCCTTCCTCTTCGCATCACGCCGGGGCGGGCCCAGGCCGCGCGGCCCCCACCCTCCCGGGAACCCGCGGTCCGTCGCGGCGCCGCGTGGACGAGACGCCTCCTCGCGCAGCCAGGCCCCCCGCCCGGCCGGGACCCCCCGGTGCGGTGCATGTGTCCGAAGAGGTGGCCCGTTTGCACGCCGACAATCACCGGGGGACCGGCCGCTGGCGAGGCCGCGCTTGTCCCCCCGCCATTAACCATCCATCCAAGGACACGCAGCATGCACCCGCCTCGCCCTGCACTGCGCAGACACTACCTACGGTCGATAGGCGCAGCGTCCAGGCAGATGCGGGCAGAAATTGATCAGACCCGTCCTGCGGCCGCAGCGGACACGTGACGGGGCCGCCGGGAGCCCAGACTGCGGCGAGCTGCGGCAGCGGCAGGAGGCGGCGGCGCGCGGGGCTCCGGCTGCGCTCGGGCGGCGGGCGGCGTCACCAGGGGCGGGGCGAGGCGCTCCGGGAAGTGGCGCCCGGTGCAGCGGCAGCCGGGCGAGTTACGCGGCCGACGGGGAAGGTGGGAGGGGCCGCCCGGAACTCGGCCTTCTGGTAAGAACCTCCGAGGAAGGAAAAAAAAAAGAGGCGCCACCCTGCGCTCCCCGGACGGCCTCGGGGACCTTCCGCGAGAGAAAGAATTCGCCCCTTTAGAAGTAAGCTCTTTTTCTGCTGCAAGAGCCGGACGGCCTAGGCCAGGACTCCAGGGGAAAGGTGGCGGGCGAGGGGCGAGCGCAGCGGGCTCCCGGGGTGCCCAGCAGGTCGCAGACGCCGCGGGGACTCAGCGGCTTCTGAGCACCACCGGAACAGGTCGGAGGCGGCCCCTCGGTTCTGTTCCCCCGTCTTCCGACGGCTGCTGGGCCATGTCAAGGGGCCCAGGCTCCGTGATCCCGCCCGCCCGGGGCTCCTGGAAGCCGGCGCCCCGGAGCTGCAGCTGTCTCTCGGACCTGGACGGCGGCGCGGCCCTGGAGCCTCGGCCCTGTCGGCCCCCGGAGAGCCCGGGCTGCGCGCCACGGCCCGTGCGGGCGCCGTCGGGCTGCGACCCCCACCTGCGGCCCATCATCCTGCGGCGGGCACGCTCGCTGCCCAGCTCCCCCGAGCGCCGCCAGAAGGCCGCGGGCGCGCCCGGCGCTGCGTGTCGGCCCGGCTGCAGCCGGCAGCACCGCGTGCGCTTCGCCGACGCGCTGGGCCTGGAGCTGGCGCAGGTCAAGGTGTTCAACGCGGGCGATGATCCGTCCGTGCCGCTGCACGTGCTGTCGCGGCTCGCCATCAACTCGGACCTGTGCTGCAGCAGCCAGGACCTGGAGTTCACCCTGCAGTGCCTGGTGCCCGATTTCCCGCCGCCCATCGAGGCCGCGGACTTTGAGGAGCGCCTGCGGCGGCAGCTCGTGTGCCTGGAGCGTGTCACTTGCTCGGACCTGGGCATCAGCGGCACCGTGCGCGTGAGCAACGTGGCCTTCGAGAAGCAGGTGGCCGTGCGTTATACCTTCTCTGGCTGGCGCAGCGCCCACGAAGCGGTGGCACGTTGGCGCGGGCCCGCCGGTGCCGAGGGCACGGAGGATGTCTTCGCCTTCGGCTTCCCGGTGCCGCCCTTCTTGCTGGAGCTCGGCTCACGCGTGCACTTCGCGCTGCGCTACCGAGTGGCTGGTGCCGAGTACTGGGACAACAACGACAGCCGCGACTACAGCCTCACGTGTCGCAGCCACGCACTGCACATGCCACGCGGAGAGTGTGAAGAGAGCTGGATCCACTTCATCTGAGCTCGCGGGGGCCAGGAACCTGGAGCCTCCGCATCTAAGCCGCACCTGCTGTCATTTCTGTGCTGGGCTCTCTCACATCTAGGGGGTCGTTCTCCCCGCCCCTTCTGTCCCCCAGATCGTCTGACTTCGATTTCTGCTGCTAGGTCTCACTGCAATGGCCCGCCTTGCCTTATACTTGAAACGTCTGTGTCACTTGGTCTAAAAGGTAGCCTCAGGTGGCCAGAAGGCCAGGTCGAATTGTGTAATGTGTTGCGGGAGGGTGGTGGGTGGGTAGGTGCATGGGAGTGTTGGCCCCTCCAAGGAGGGCCCGGACAGGATTTTGTTTTGAAGGCCTGAGTCTGCTAGGAAGGCCTTTTGCATGTGTCCTGAATGCTTCTCTAAACGTAGCTGTTATTTATTATTGTGCTGTCGGGACCTTTCCCCCGTAGTGGATGCCGCCGCAGGAACATTCTACACTTAATAAGCTTGCAAAAAGGTCTATTCTGTTGTGTGTTTGTGCTCCTTGTAAACAGAATGTGCAGTGTGACCCCCACCGTGGCCCCTTTTGGCACTCCTGCCCCAGGACAAGGAAAACCTGAGACCACGTTTGCTTGCCAATGTCTGTAGCCTTTTAACACTGGAAACTATTAATAGGCAAGAAATTTATGTCTCATCAGTCATCACACAACCATTCCTGGGCATTGAGGCTGCCCTGGTTAGGCTATGCGTCTCTTACATCAACAGCTGAACGAGGAAGAAAGCTTCAAACTTTTAAACTAACAAAACAGCCCTTTGTCTGCAGTCACTCTTCTGATTTCATGTATTTCTCTTGTACGTTTGATAATTAGGTATCTACATATTATCAGGCCATTCTGTTTAGGTTTGAAACTACCTAAACATTTAAAGAAATCCTGCCTTAAGTTATTTAAATTTTCAGGTGACTATAGGATTTCAGGCAACAGTGCCCTTTGCAATTACCTTTTCGATGATTAAGGTGACTCTTTTTATTTCTTCCTAAGCATCAGAAAATTCCAGCATTCATTTTTTCAGAGTCCAGTTACCAAGTGGAAATAGAAGGTGTTTTCAGCAATAGCCAGAGCACTGGAGGAAAAATAATTCACAAATATTTATACTTTTAAATTGTTTTAAATTACATTTATATGTCATGTTTTTATCAGCTACCTGCCAACTTTATTCTTTGTGCCTTCAGATAGGAGAGTTTCTAACATTTTCTGGATTTGTTGCCCAGTTTTAAAATATTAAATGCTTTTATTATGTTTTCTAAACCTCCAGTTAGTTGGGACCACTGTCCTCTGCAGAACGCTGCAATTACTTAAAACTCCCATTGAGGAGCTGATGAGATCTTTTGGTGCTGAGCAGTGGTCTCTCTGACAACAGGTGCTAGAACTGAGGTGTGAAAAACGCAGCCAAAATGGACAAGATCTCCAATTTGTGAAGTTTCTTTATGCTACACTTGAAACTAGTTTGATCAGTTTTGTAATATCTGTCGCCAGTGAATTAACTCTAAATTTTTAAATTCTTATTGACATTTGTCAAATCAATATTTAAAGTATGCATTTTGCCTTTTAACCCATTTGTTACTGATAATTGCAGCCTCTGTGTTTTTAAAATTCTGAGAATAGGGATGGGTTTCTTTTGATCTAAGAACACTGAATTTTGATTTAAAATGTTGTGATTAAATTGCACAAGCTCTGGCTATTAGCACTGTGCACTGTATTGACATGCAGGAGAGAGAGAAGCCTGGTTGCGTTTCCTGCTGTTTAATAAACTGTCCAAATAGGTCAGCAAGCCTGTGCGGGCCCTGGCTGCTAGGCCCTTGGCCCCGCCCAGAGTTCATGACAGTGTCCAGAATATTCAGGTATGAGTTAGAGCTGCCAAATGTATTGTTTAAAGGCATGTAGAGAATCTTATAATCTATGTGAAAGTCACTTGCCAAAAAGGTCATGAAATATAAAGTTATGAAATAAATATACAATCTTCAATATTAAGAGGACTTCAAGGTGCCTTTTTAAAAATATCAACATTTTGAAATTTAAAAGCTTAAATATACTTGCCTAGTTGATAAAGAAGTTGGAGAACAACTTGAGAACTTTCAGAACCTAAAACACAGTTATATTGCTTAGATGTTAAAATTTTATAGTGGATTGTGCAATCGCTGGGTTGTTTCCCCAAACATATCTTAATGTCATTTAAAATTATTTTATGCAAGCCTAAGTATTAAAGCATATGTGCAAAAATGGCTGTGGGCTCTTCTATTAAGCTGGACTATGTTATTTTTTCTTGTAGTCTAATTATAGAAGACAGCTTTAGAAACTTGATTATTTAAATCATTTCATACATAAGTTTTATCCCTTTTAAAAACATAAATATAGGGCCTTGGCAAGACAACTAGATTTTACAATTGTGCCTCAGCTTCAGAAGCAGAGTTGTGTATGTCTTTGAGAAATGGAAAGAACAATCCTATATGCCAGGTCACCATTACATGTAATAAAAGCTCTAGGGGAACACAGGCGATGTGATAATTACTGTGCCTCTCTTACAGTGCTTGTGTATGGAGTCATTAGTGGGTGTCTGCCTTCCCCCTTGGACTGTAACCCTCACCTTGAACACAGGGGCAAGGAAACTAACACTTACTGTATACTCCCTTATTTGGCCACAGTGCTAGGTGCTTTATGTATTGAATTTCATTTAATTCTGAAAATTATGCCACCTGGTAGGCAATATCTCCATTTTCTTAGCTGAAGAGAATGAAACTCACATTTAAGTACAGTCATGGGCCATGTAACGACATTTCAGTCAATAATGGACTATGTATACATTGGTGGTCCCATAAAATTATAATACCATATTTTTATTGGACCTTTTGTATGTTTAGATGCACAAATGCTCACCATTGTGTTTAATTGCCTACAGTATTCAGTACAGTAACCTGCTGTACAGGTTTGTAGCCTAGGAGCAATAGGCCATACCATACAGCCCAGGTGTGTAGTAGGCTACACAATCTAGGTTTGTGTAAGTACACTCTGTGATGTTCGCACAGTGATGAAATCGCCTGACAAGACATTTCTCAGAATGTATCCCCTGTCATGAAGGGACACAACGATTGTAGTTCACCTAAAGTTCCACAGCTGGTAAGCAGCAGATTGAGCATTCAAACGTATACCAAAGTCCATGCTCTCTCTGCCTGTGACATGGCATATATTAATACAATGTTCCCAGTAAGTGCTTGCTAAATTTAATGGAAAGCCAAATTTTGATTGTGATTGATAAGGTTTTTCATCAAACACTACGATGTAAAGCCCTTAAAAGACAATTCAAGTAAGATTAAAGAGTAATATACTTTCTTCTTCCATGTTGTAGTTTACTGATGTTTACTAAACAATTCCCAGCCTTTCTGAACACATGAAACAATAAAAAGGGCTCTACCAGCTTTCTCTCTAGTAAAAAGGGGCAAGGTGAAAAATCACTACTGTTAATTTTTCAAGTTTATTAGTAAAATTTCTCTGCACTCACAACTCCATCATGAAGGATCTTAAATCTATTCGAGGAAAACTACATGTGAAAATAGTTATGCAAAATTGTCAGGTCATGAGGTTGACACACTCTACGGTCTTACATTTTGTATTATACATTATTAACACTTAAATGTGTGACTAATTCAAAAGCAAATTCAAAAACAATGAAAACCTTGAGTATATAAAATTCCCCCGAATCCCTGTACGTTAGGTTGCATATGTAATTTGTAAGCTCTGAATTAAGCGATTAAGAGTTCAAAATTAAGTTCAATGAGGTAGTTACAGAGTTGTCAAGAAGTCTGTAACGCTGGCTAAGCAGAATATTAAACACACTTTTGAGAGTTTATATTATGGTACGTGACTTCATCGGCCTCGGTGCTCTTAAATCTATTCCCTCGAGTTTATTTTTCCAATCGTTTTCCACTGCACATTTAAATTATAACCCAGTATTTTTAAACAGGTGGTGCCTTTTAGGAAGTGCAGGTGATACTAAAATATTTTAAATTTTGATTTGGCGACATCTGTAAAAAGTTTAACCCTACATACCCTTCGCTACAGCAATTCCACTTTCAGAAATTTATCCAAACAAATGTTGGATAGCCCAAAAGTTGTTTACTGCAGCATTACTTGTAATATGTTTAAAAAGGGGGGAGGAAGCTCATGATTGCCGCTGAACAGGCCACAGGGGATGGCGATTCCGGCTGAGGCCGGCCCAGGATTGACTAATGAGGGGGCTGTTAAGAAGCGCAGCCCCGGCCCGGCGCGCGCAGCACGTCTCGGTGCAGAACGCGGGTCCGATCCGGTTCGCACAGCCCCAGCATGCCGCTCTCCAGCCGCGGGGGACTGTCCCCGCCCATTTCTGGTGGCTCGCGGTCTCTGCACCACAGGCAGCCCTGGCTCGGATGGACGCTGATACTTCAGGTGGAAACACGCGAGAGAGTCCACGAGTACAAGGTCGACGCTTCCCCGCCCGCCCCACGGGCGCCTCCGGGGGCAGCCAGGCCGCGTCCGCAGACCTCTGTGGAGACCCCGGCCCGCCGCACCCCTTCCGTCCCTTCCGGAGCGCCCGTCCCGGGGCGGCCCCGGGGTCACCGCAGCCCGCGGGAGCCAGAGACTGGGAAGCGGGGCCCGGGGGAGAGTCTGCTGGCGCCTTCACCCAGGAGCGGCGTACGGGCCCCGGCCTACCCCCGGGAGCCGCGGGCGTGGCCCCGGCCTCCGGCGACCGCTGCACTTTGGCGGGCACAAGGTGGGGGGGGCCTGGCTGGCGCTGACGCTGATTGGACGCACCACCGACCAGACGCAGCGCCGATTGGACAGGCGCTTCCCGCCTTCCGCTGGCCGCCTGAGGCGCCGCGGCGGTCCCTGAGGTGAGAGGACGCGGCGGCCACCGTCAGCCTCGGAGGCTCTCGAGGACTCGACGCAGGAGGCCTTCTCTAGCCAGTAGGTTGAGCCCGGAGCCCGAGTGGGCCTCCCTGAGGGCAGGGCGCGGAGGGAGGGTGCAGCTTCTGTGGGCGGGCGGCCTCCAACGGTCGAGGCGGAGCCTTTGTGGAAACGGCCAGCCAGCGGGGCGGGCAGCGTTTCCGCGGCCCTCGGGCTGAACGGGAGTCGCCGGGACGGGTCGTGCGGCGTTCGTGGGCTG